AGCAAATTCAAAATGCCCAAGTTCAAGATGCCATCCTTTGGGTTGTCTGCTCCAAGCAAAGACTTGGGAACCTCCATGGACTTACCCAATGTGGGTGTGGATGCATCCCTGCCCTCCGTGGGAGGAGAGCTCACACCCACAGAGGCTAGCATCCGAGTTCCATCTGCTGACATCACTCTACCTGGGGCTGAGCTGGCGGTGTCCCTCCCCAAAGTGGAGCAGTCCTCAGGAGAGCTGAAGGTCAAGGACGAAGATGTCAAGATCAAAGGGCACCTGCCCAAGGTGCAGATGCCTGGTGTCAAGATGGCCAAAGTGGACTTGAAGACACCCCAGATGGACAACAAAGACACTAAACTGGACATGAAATGTCTCCAGGGGGAGGGGACCACCCCGGATATGGAGATGTCTCTACCCAGTGTGGAGGTAGACATCCAGGTGCCAGGTGCCAAGGTGGAGTGTGACATGTCCCTGGGAGACAAGGACTTGGACACCAAGGACAGCAAGTTCAAGATGCCCAAGCTCAAGATGCCATCCTTTGGGGTGTCCACTCCGAGCAAGGACTTGGGAACCTCTGTGAACTTGCCTACAGTGAGTATGGAGGCTTCCTTGTCCTCCGTGGAAGTAGAGCTCACACCCACTGAAGGAAGCGTCCCAGTTCCATCTGTTGACATCTCCCTACATGGGGCTGATGCGGATATGTCCCTCCCAGAGGTGGAGCTGGCCACAGGAGAACTGAAGGGTAAGGGCAAAGGCATCACGATCAAAGGACACCTGCCCAAGGTCCAGATGCCTGGGATCAAGATGCCCAAAGTGGACCTGAAGGGCCCCAAGGTGGACACCAGTCTGCCTGGTGTGGATGTGTCACTGCCCAAGGTCTCAATGAATGAACCAGCCCATGGGATCTCCATGGAAGGGGTGAAGCTGGAGGAGGATGTCAGGCTGGAAGGAAAAGATGTCAAGACCAAGGATGGTAAGTTCAAAATGCCCTCCTTTAAGATGCCATCCTTTGGCAGGTCCTCGCCAAGCAAGTCCATCAGTGGTTCGGTGGATGTGTCTCTGCCAGAAGCACAGATGGACGTGTCTTTGCCCTCCATTGGGGGAGGAGTCAAGACTGGAGATAAGATTCCTAAAGTAGACATCAAGGCCCCCCAGGTGGACATCAAGGGCCCCAAAGTGGACCTGAAGGGCTCCAAACTAGATGTAAAGGGCCTCAAAGGGGAAGTGGCCACCCCAGATGTTGAAGTATCTCTGCCCAGCATGGAGGTGGACATTCAGGTATCAGGTGCCAAATTGCAGGGCGACATGTCCCTGGGAGACAAGGACTTAGCCACCAAGGACAGCAAGTTCAAGATGCCCAAGTTCAAGATGCCATCCTTTGGGGTGTC